GTAGCGGGAGCGAATGGCCTCAGCAAAGCTTGTGAGATCAGTAGTGAGAGGAGAGAGCCGATGCAGACGGGCACAGCGCTGGACTTAGTGAGGCCTCAGGCAAGTATTGGGGGTATGGCAAAGAAAATGTTTAGGCTTTAGTACCACTTTAAAGCTTAAACTCCAAACATCAGTTACATCTTGATTGCTTCATATGAAATCCATTGTGGCAGCAAACAGAGACACAATTGTGAAAATGGCTTCTCTATTCATATTATGCACCTAACTCTATATTTTTCCAGACTAACCATATTTGAAAATCCATTTAGGCCTGCTAGCTGGGAGATCTGTTTGTGACTGCAGTAGCTGTCCTAATGTGGCAGCAGCCAACCTGCTCTCCAAGGATCACCTAGTGTGCTCTGTAGCGACGCCAACTATGCCATAGTAAGAGGCAGTGGGTTTTCACTAGTGAGCAGCAAACGCATCTGTGGTTCCAGTCCTTTTGTTACCCAATAGTGTGCTTCCAAAGATGCTTAGCTTCCTGTTTGTGGCATCGGAACCGGTGATGTTGGAGAGGAAAAAGTGTAGTTAAAATGCTTCAGATATCTTAACAATAGCTAGGTCATCTAGTAAATCTGTCTTTTTATCTCAATATTTATTTGCATTGCATATGCTCAAATACAGACTGACCATCAGTCCTGAAAATACTTTTAGACTTGATTTTTTGCTAACTCCAGAATATAATTCTTATACACTCTGCTCCATTGTGTTGTGAATATCCAGGTTTACTAATAAATACAATGCTGTAGTTGTAAGGCATTCATGGCCTCAGAACTATGGTCAGGACAGCTTATGTTCCTGTGGAGCCTCTGAGGCAGAAAGCACATGTCAGAATTCTATAATTTGTCTTCCCTTCATTGTATAATATTCCTTTTTTGCCCCATCATTTTTGTGGGGTTAGCTGCTGTAAGCAAGTGTTTTGTTCTTACTCATGTTTGATGAAAATGCAGGCACCTCCAGGTATGCTCCTGCACACTTTATTTTGCAGAGCACCTCCACTCTTTCAAAATTCATGTTACTCTATTGAGTGAACATTGGCCAGATCTCACCACCATTACCATTCTCTTCAGCTCATATTTGCCCAGCTGGACAGCTCATAATTATATGTGGCCAATATTGACCAAGCAAAGTGGGAGGAGTAGGACCACAGTTTGATCTTGAGGGATATGGCTCAGATGTTTAAGATACTGGGGTGCTCTTTTAATAAATAAAATGGGCGGAGGTGCTTGTAGTTGCCAGAATATCCTATTTTTTTGTATGTTTTGTGTGAACACTAGTGTGTAATATTATCCCTAAGCTTAACTGCTGGGAGTCTTAGTGCTCGGCTTCACTTTTTGCTTATTCTGATTTGTGTAGAAATTACCGTATTTTTCGCTCCATAAATCGCACCTTACCATAAAACGCGCCTAGGTATTAGAGGAGAAAAACAAGAAATAAAATATTCTGAACCAATGGACTGTAGACATAGTACAGGAAATGACGAGAGACTGCGGACACAGTACAGGAGATGACCAGAGACTGCGGACACAGTACAGGAGATGACCAGAGACTGCGGACACAGTACAGGAGATGACCAGAGACTGCGGACACAGTACAGGGATGACCAGGGACTGCGGACACAGTACAGGGGATGACCAGGGACTGCGGACACAGTACAGGGGATGACCAGGGACTGCGGACACGGTACAGGGGATGACCAGGGACTGCGGACACAGTACAGGGGATGACCAGGGACTGCGGACACGGTACAGGGGATGACCAGGGACTGCGGACACAGTACAGGCTATGACCAGGGCTGCGGACACAGTACAGGCTATGACCAGGGACTGCGGACACAGTACAGGGGATGACCAGGGACTGCGGACACAGTACAGGGGATGACCAGGGACTGCGGACACAGTACAGGGGATGACCAGGGACTGCGGACACAGTACAGGGATGACCAGGGACTGCGGACACAGTACAGGGGATGACCAGGGACTGCGGACACAGTACAGGGGATGACCAGGGACTGCGGACACAGTACAGGGGATGACCAGGGAGTGCGGACACAGTACAGGGGATGACCAGGGACTGCGGACACAGTACAGGGGATGACCAGGGACTGCGGACACAGTACAGGGGATGACCAGAGACTGCGGACACAGTACAGGGGATGACCAGGGACTGCGGACACAGTACAGGGGATGACCAGGGACTGCGGACACAGTACAGGGGATGACCAGAGATTGCGGACACAGTACAGGGGATGACCAGAGACTGCGGACACAGTACGGGGGATGACCAAGAAACTGCAGACAGTACAGGGGATGACCAAGAGACTGCAGACCTTTGGGGAGGGAGGGGGAGCGGGTACCTGAATTTGAAAGGTACCCGCTCCCACTTCAGCGGAGTTGTCCTCCCTTTAGTGTGGGCATCCGTCTGTGCTGGGTGCCTACTGTGCATGCGTGAGAAGCACTGCGCTTTGTGAATGGCCCGGTGTCTTCTGTTACCTGTCGTGTTCCAGAAGACGTCGGACCATTCTCAAAGCGCATCGCTTCTCGCGCATGTGCAGTGGGCACCTGGCTGTCACAGCCGGGTGCCCACACTAAAGATGCTGGCGCGGGAAGACTGCACAGCGCTGGACCGAGAAACAGGTAAGGTCCTAGTGCAGAGAAGAGCTGAGCGGCCTGCCCCGTATTCTGACACGGCGGTGGCGGCGGAAAATACTGGACCGGCCGCTCCTTATTCGCTCTATAAGACGTACTGACATTTCCCCCCTTTTTTTTGGGGGGGGGGGGGGAGTGCGTCTTATGGAGCAAAAAATACGGTAATATAAGATTGCAGCGCCATCCTGTAGTGGCTAAGGGGTTTGATGGACCTATGATTTCTGGTGGAATAATCTGATCACGAGAATCCAAAAGATGGAGGAAACCACTGTGTTATTCAGCTTGCCAGCAGCTGTATAGCACTGAACTATTGGCATCGGCTTCTTAATTGATTTAATAGCAGTTAATATTCTTATTAAATGTTTGCTTATTTTGTTACAATAATGTGCAGAGCAAATTCTAATATCGTTGAATCAGTTTAAGTGTGTGCTTGCTTGGTTTAATTATTTTGCAATGGGCATATGCTAAGAGATACTATTGTGAACGATTTAAGTTTCTAATATATAAAATTATACATTACTCTGGTTGAACATATTCTCTTGTTTCTGTCACATTTCAGATACATCGTCAGGGGCAGCTGCTACTTCAAATTATGCAAATTCCACTTGGGGTTCAGGAGCCCCCTCCAGCAGTGGCCCTACCACAAACCCTCCCCACATTTGGGACAAAGTGATTGTAGACGGGTCGGACATGGAAGAATGGCCTTGCATAGCTGGTGTGGACGCAGAGCCCCCTTCTGACAACGCCACAGACAACAGTGCCTCGAACCAAGCCTCGGAGAAGGGATCCCTACAAGGAAGCGCCACTAACCACAAAGGAAGAGGGGGCCAGAGCCAACAACAGCAGCCTGGCAACGAATGTATCCAGGGGGTATGGAAAGCTGACCCCAAGGCTAAGCCCGTCCCGTCTTCCAACCCTGCTACAGAGGGAGTTAATAGACTGGGAAACTGGAGGAGCATGGGTGGTTCTGAGAGAACGGGACCTGCCTCTGGTTTCAATAACTTTAACCCAAATACAAATCCATCTGCCTGGCCGGCCCTGGTTCAGGACGGCAGCAGGAAAGGGAACCCGGAGTCAGAAGGCAGCTTCTCCAGTGCACAGCTTGGCTCTACAGGTCCAACCTCCCGGGAGCAACAGTCAAAGATTGAAAATGCGGGTGCTGGTTTTGCAGTCGCGGGTAGGGAGCTGGCCACAACCCACCACACTGACGGACCAAAAAATGGAAACACTAACTCTACGAACTCAAATACTTCAAACCCCCTTGAGAACAAGGGAACAGCCTTTGGGGTAGGGTCAGGGGATGCTTGCCGGGGTTCAGATCCCTCTGCTCAAAGCACTGGAGATAGAAAGAATGGAGGGGTGGCTTCTTGGGGGCCAACTAGGGGGCAGTCTGTCCCAGGAGATGCCAACTGTGGGGTCGGCAATTCTGGAAATAATGGACGAGAGAGGGAGGACGCAAGGAAGTTGTCTTCATCTCATAGGCCCAATGGGTCCAGGGGAGAATCTTGGGACAGTAAAAGTGGTGGAAATGGTTCTTGGGGATATGGCCCACAATCCGATCCCAGCGAATTGAAATGGGGTGAAGGGAACAAACTGATGGCTGGAGGGGTGTCTCAGGGAGAATGGAAGCAGCCGTCTGGGCATGAGGACTTAAAAGTTGGAGAATGGGGTGGGTCGAGCCAAGGAAATTCTAGCACTGGAGCATGGGACAATCAGAAGGGCCACTCACTATCGGAAAACCAGGGCAGCGCATCATCAGCGTCCTGCTGGGGCCGGGCCCCCAGCTCTGCAGGAAGTGAGGCAGGGGGACAAAGCACTGGAAGCAATCCTAAGGCTGGGGGTAGTGGTGACAGTCTGAACTCTGGCAGTCGACGTTCGCATAGGTCTACTCTCCCAGACAGCCAAGCTGTTTTGCAGTCCCTGCTGAATCGAACAGACTTAGATCCCCGAGTACTCTCCAACTCGGGCTGGGGGCAAACCCAGATAAAGCAGGATGCAGCATGGGAGACTGAAGAAGTGACAACTCGACCTGAAGGCAAAGCAGACCGTGGGACTGAAGGATGGGAAAACACATCACAAGCAAAGACCTCAGGGGGCTGGGGGGATGCCCCCAGCCAAAGCAATCAAAGCAAGTCTGGTTGGGGAGAATCTGCCCCTGTTCCATCTGGTCAAGAATGGAAGGACACCAAAGCAACTGGCTGGAATGACTATAAAAATAGCGCACCTAGTTGGGGAGGGGGTGGAAATAATGGGGGTGGGGTTGGAGGACGACAGGATGAAAAGGCAGGTCCTGGATGGAACAATGATAATGGTGCAAATTCTGAGCAGGGATGGGGTTCTCGGCAACCTGCTCCTGGAAGTGGATGGTCTGCTGGAAAAAATGGATGGGGAGGAAGCAACAGTGAGGACATAGAGCCTCCCAAAGGCCCTGGGGGCTGGGATGGCTCAGGAAACAAAGCTTCCTCTAGCTGGGGGGATGTAGGACAGAATGATGTTGGATCTTGGAGTAATGGGGCTAGCTCAAACTCAGCCTCTCGAACTGGCTGGGAAGAGAATAAAAGGTCCCAAGGTGGAGGTACTTGGGGAGACACAGCCAGGGCTCCAGTTCCTTGGAATAAGCAACAGGAAGCTACACAGGCTGCTCCATCTTCTGGCTCCTGGGGTTCACAAGCTCCTCCACCTCCTGGAAATGGTAGACAGCCACCCAACCCTGGTTGGAAGGGTGGCCCTACACCAACTGTGTCCAAGGATGAAGAACCAAGTGGCTGGGAGGAACCATCACAGTCATCCATCAGCCGTAAAATGGACATTGACGATGGTACTGCAGCTTGGGGGGATCCTAATAGTTACAATTACAAGAATGTTAGCTTGTGGGACAAAAATGCGCAAGGAACCCCTGCACAGATGCCACGGGAGCAAGGAATGCCTGGAACTATAGCCAGCAAAGGAGCACCATCAGGTATAGCAGTTTAATTTTGTTGATATGTAGTTGTATATTTTGAAACAAATGTATTCTCTAAAACTAAACTGCAGAAATTACCTGTATTGCATATTTCATACCTGATGGCTCTGGGAAAGCTGAAAATCACTGTAGTAGTCAGAACTACTAGAGTGATAGCTGATATCTTCCGGGTCCTGCTGTGGTTCTGAGAGTTGGCTTCCCCTTTACACTCTGACCATAGGGGACCGGGCCACTCACTCAACATTTCCACCATTCATAGAACACCTTGTATTTTTTTTTTTTTTAGTACTATCAAAGGCATTTTCTGATTGAATTAGATGTAGAGGAGGGACTGTGATGTCAAATTTGCTTTTATTTCTTTACTTTCAAGCATGTAACGTGTGCAAACAATTTTATGTAGTATTCATGTCATTCAGTTACCTTCCTGGATTTATGAAAAATCCACTGTGTGATAAAAACATATCAGTAATATATGCAAATTGCTCTATGTAGTCGTTACTTAATTGTTTAATCTTTAGTTTCTGTGTGTTCAGAGGATCACCACTTATTGACTCCAGGCACTTAGCTGCTTGCTGGATTTGTTAACCAGGTGTTTAGATACACTTACACAAAAATCCAACTTGTTAAGCAAGCTGTGGATCTGTATAAATTATCAAAATCTGATTTTAGGTTGTGATAAAGTGTAATGTTTGTTTTTCATGTCAGTACAGAGTTATTTATATGGCTTGATTTGTGTTCTTTGGTTTCCAATACATCTATTTTATACAAGCTGGCCATACACTTAGATTTTTGGACAAACATTTGTGCACAAATTCTCATCATTTGATGACATAACAAATGCCTTTCCAAAGTACCTCAAAAAAGTTTTCTTTTAACATTTTGATTTTGGAGTGAATTGAGTTTTCAAAAAGAAAAATTCATCCTCCTGCTTTGAATTTTATCATCCCTGTGATCAAAAAGGAGCATTGATTTGACGCCACAAAGTATTAGAAAATTGGATGAACATTCCTAAAATGAACAATTTTTATTTAAATTAGTATTGGAGCATAAAGTAGGCTTTAGAAAATTTTTGACAACAAGGGTAAGAGCTTTGGAGAAGTACTAGAACTGTCCATTATTTGGATGTCTCTATGAGCAAGATATGGTAGTTTTGGTCAACATCCAAAATCTGACTCTCACATCTAATGCTCCATTGAGTCAAGCGGCCCAATTTGTGTATATCTGGGCAGCTTTGGCCAATGTAAAGATTTTCAAGTTTTGCCCAGTTGGCTTTCTTTATTTTTAACTGTGAGTCATGGTAGATTGCACTTTGATTGAAATGTAATGCGTAGTAGAATTAAATTACAAAATTACATGTTTTACTATTAAATATGGAAAGTTAATGTGAACGTGGCATTATATAGATATGCATACAGTATATCATGTTAGGTGCAGTTTTTTTTATGTAATATGTAACGTCAAAGATATCACTTTACTTCCAGTCACAATACTTTCTCTGCAAAAGGCGTTGCTTTGTTCAGTTATCTAAGGCCAACATTTCTTCCATGACAGATGTTTGCTAATAGATAAATGTCTTGTAATTCCCATACATTCTGGTATCTATACAGTACCCTTTTTGTTTTTTGATGCTCGTATACATCTACCTATTGGCCCCCCTAGTCCTCACTATCTGATTTGCCAGAAAGTTGCAATGTTCATTGTAGATAAGAGAATGATTATGGTAGGGGAGAGGAAATACCTGCCACAGATTCAGGTGACATAATTGCTGTGCCCAGACAATGCACTTTAAATTCTGGACATGCAAAAAGAAGAAAAAATAAGTAAAATCTATTTTAAAACAACCTCTTATTCACCTCTGTAGCTTTTGGTAGTATTGGGAAATTCATCTTCAAGGTTCACAACAGAGGCACTAAAATCACATTTCCTGCTCCTGTGTTTTCTAAGGCAGCAGAAACCTGATAGCTTGCCAGCATTCTAATGTAAGCAAACACCAGGTAGTAGAAGTTGTTAGAGACTGTCTGAACCTTAGGTGTTTATAGCCTCCATTGTGGTCTTTGGGAATTAATTACTTTAGAGTACATGCAGCTACAGAGGTCTGTGATCGCTTCTTTTAAAGTTTTGTTGCTGCTTTTTAAGAATCCTTAAACCCCAATTCACATCTGGCGATTTGGGATTGGCGTAAAAATTTTTGCGATTTAGCCCATGATTCCAAATTGCACTGCAATAGAGACAGAATGCATCACGTGTTTGGGGTATTCATTTTTTTATGGCACCTAAACATGGTACGGTTTTGCAATCCTTATCTCGTGAAGCTTGTCGCCCAAAAAGGAGGTTCTTTTGAGCAATAAGCCTCACAGTGTGGTTTCCCGCACAATAATTGTGGCAAAACCACATCCGTATGTAGGTATCATTAACCATTTCAATACAGGGCACTTTTACCCCCTTCCTGCCCAGGCCATTTTTTCAGGTTTATTTATTTATTTCAGGTACTTATATAGCGCTATCAATTTACACAGCGCTTTACATATATATATTGTACATTCACATCAATCCCTAACCCTCAAGGTCAAGGGGCGTACAAACTAAGGTCCCTAACTCACATTCATACATACACATACTAGGGCCAATTTGGACAGGAATCAATTCACCTACCAGCATGTCTGTGGAGTGTGGGAGGAAACCGGAGTACCCAGAGGAAAACCCATGCAAGCACAGGGAGAACATGCAAACTCCATGCAGGAGGTGTCATGGTCGGGAATCGAACCCATGACCCATTTACTGCAAGGCCGACGTGCTAACCATTAAGCCACTGTGCCACCAAGCTTCAACGCTCTCACACTTTGAATGACAATTGTGCGGTCATACAACATTGTACTCAAACTAAAATTTTAGCATTTTCTTCACACAACTAGAGCTTTCTTTTGGTGGTATTTAATCACCACTGGGATTTTTATTTTTTTGCTAAATTTAACAAAAAAAGGCCGAAAATTTTGAAAAAAAAACACATTTTTCTTTGTTTCTGTTATAAAAGTTTGCAAATAAATAATTGTTCTTCATAAATTTAGGCCGAGATGTATTCTACTACATGTCTTTGGTGAAAATAACCTAAATTGTGTTGTATTATTTAGTTTGTAGGAAAGTTATAGAGTTCACAAACTATGGTATAGATCTGAAAATTGATCAATCCTGAAGTACTGACAGCCAATCTAATTTCTTGAGGTCCAAGAATGTCAGAACAGTACAGATATCCTCCAAAGGACCACATTTTGCAAAGTAGACAGTCCGACGTACTTCATAAGAGGCATGGCGAGTTTTTTCAAGTTGTATTTTTTTTGTCTGAGGTGATTGTAGCCGTATTAGTGCGTTTGCGGCAGAAACAATTGAGTACTGTCCGTGATACTTTTTTTATTTGCATTAACATACAATTTTGAGGACAAGCTTTCGGGGTATGTCCCCTTCTTCAAAGTCCAAGCAGTACTATACAAATCACTAAGTTTCAGCAGAATGTTAGAAGAGATGAAAAAAAAAAAAAAAAAAAGAGAGGCTAGAGATAAGATGCAGCCAAAGCAAGGGTGGGGGGGGGGGGGGGGGGAGGGGGGTAAGACAACACTCACACAGAGGGAGTCAAGCTTCAGCTAATAGTCATAAAACTGTTGGATAATGATTGAGGAATCCCATGTCCAAATTAAGGCCGTTATCTCTTGTGTCAAATAGAATTATCATTCTTAGTTCAAAAGTTTTTGTTTCTTGAATGGATTTGAAATTTCCTTTAAGAACTAAAATATTGAGGTCTCCCATTGTGTGACCTGGTTGTGCAAAATGGTGTCCTACAGGTGTGCAGAGGCCATCTTCTTTATTTTCCTTGATGGTAGGTCTGTGCAAATTCATACTTGTTTGCAACTTTTGTCCTGTGTCGCCAACATAAGATCCTTTGCTGCATTTTCTGCACAGGATAAGGTACACAACATTACTGGAGGTGCAGCTGTATGATCCGGAGATATTGAAGATCCCTTTTGAGTGTCTGACACTTTTTGATGGATTGATTTGGTTGCACAGTTTGCAGCGTTTCTTATTGCAGGGTTTGCTTCCAATATTTGTCATAATTTTTCAGAAAATTTAAATTATTTTCACTATTTTTTTACATACTGTCACCAGTGCAATACAGCGTCATCATATAACTGACATGGCAGTGATCAGGGACACTGACTGGTGACAGTATGAAAAAAAAAAATATATAATTATTTTACATTTTTTATTACATTTCCTTTTCTTTTTTTTAAGATTTTTTTTTTCACATTTCACTATGACCAAAGTAGTACAATGTTACCATAGTTTTTTTTTTTTTTTTTTTTCACAATTTGCTTATAGCAAAGAATTACTTTGCTGTAAGCAAGCATTTACCTGAATGACATCGATTCATTCAGGGTTTTTTTTTTTTTGTTTTTTTTCTGTGCTTAGCTGTGATTTGGCCATGGCTAATCACATGACACAGCTGGGCTGTGACTGGCCCAGCTTGTGCATGTGATTGCTGTGACCATTCACAGCTAAACCCAATAGTATACAATGGATGGCATGAATGAGCCATCCATTGTATATAACTGTCCTGTGACCTGCTGTGATTGGTCACAGCAGGTCACATGGTACTGGCAACGGAGCCGGTACTCAGATCTGTCATCGGGCGTGTCCGAGGTACACGGCCGGTGACAGATCGCTCCGCTGCGCGGCTCTGCAGGTGCACAAACTGTGCATGCCCAGGAGGACGCCCTTTGGTGTCCACCTGGAACGCTGAGGGATTTTGCCGGCCGCCAAACGGCCATTGGCCGGGTGGCCAAAGGTTAAAAATGAATGGCACCCAAACATGCATAGTGTTTTTTTACAACTATTACAAAGGCCAGATGTGAACAGGGCCTAAAGTCTGACACCAAAAAGATTTAAAAAAAAAAAAAAAAAAAAAAAAAAACTTCCCTTTCAGTGCCCCTCCGTTGCATTGCAACTGT